TCCGATCCTTTCTGTATACTTTCCGAAAAAAGGGAAGTTTCAACCTCTGTGGAGGTCAGAATATTGGCTACCAAGAACCCAATCCTCTTGGAAGGTTCCAGATGGGTTGAGAGTATTGCAATCCATATGTGCGGTAGGCGATTCCCGTATATCTGCCGGGAGATTTCATTCTCGAAATGTGCAGTTTGGCCGCTAATTGCATTCTTGGAGCAGACTTGACGCAAACAAACTCTTGAATTAGGATTTCGGGACAGCATCCCAGGGCAAATGTGGCTGCTTCACTTCCAATTCTTTGCACAGCCAATAGTAAATGTTCTTCTTTGTAGCGCCCACTCTTGGCTTACAGTACAACATGTTGACTTATGCATTTGAGAATAACTACGCGTCAGTACACATATGGTCACGTCTAATCGCATCTTTGCACATTGCTACTTGGCACCAATGTGAAATGCGGCTTCAACCCCATGTGTGCCCGTCGTATTCCCTTGCATTCGCTGAGGCGTGGCTCTCGTGACAATGCGTGCTGATATCGAATGCGAGTGCATTTGCACCTATTTTTGCCTGCTGTGTCGAGCGACGTCATAAAAATGCCATCAAACTGCACTGGGTACCAGATCTTGCACACTAAGCTGTCACCGCAGCGTTCCCACATGTTATTGAAGAATTACAAAACCATTTCAATCTCAAGCACAGCAGAATCTGCAGCTGGACACGATCCCTGGCTGTGCAATGAAGGGTTTTGCAACAGGCACACAAGCCAGCTGTGCATGGGCTCGGGCGAAGGCTGCAGCACCAACGACGTGTGAGCATGGTGGTGGGCGCACCTGGGATGCTGCACGTGCACCTCCAGAGCGCATCATTTTGGCGACACCAACTGCGATGCCACTTGACACTGGTTGACTACTTGTGTTGATGCCAGCGCAGTCACTCTGACGCGGCTCGGGTCCCACAACCTCTCGCGCTTGGCATCGCCAAAATGGCCTAAACTTAAGCCATCGGTTCTAATTAGGAGTAGCGCTGCGCGCGGAAGTTATCACGCGGCCGGGGTTACTGTTGCGCACTCGCACTTCCCCGTGCCGTGCTGGAAATTCGAGTGGACGCTCCTGGGGCACTTCACAGCTGCCACGGAGTGGCAAACCTGCCAGGCGCGAAGGCCTGGGGGACGACGGCCTGAGGGCAGACCCTCGCTGCCTTTCCGCTCCAAAATCCGAGACCGCGGTGCCGACAGACGGACATCCCTTGGGCCGAGGAGGCGCGCGTTCGAGATCGCCAGCACGGCGGGCGGCATCGGTGGGTGCGGAATTGAGTGCGAAGCGGCGAATGCGCGCCAAGTGGGCTCGTTTCTTGCATCTTGGCGTGATGGCGATCGCCCGTCTTGGGGTCGAGAGATGGGCGACCGGAGTTGTAGTCACGGCGGTGCGCGCCTTATGGCAGCGGGTCGGCGGGGCGGTTTTGGGGGGCCGGGAGAGGGCATCGCCCGCGGCAAGAAGCTCGGGCCAGGAATGCCAGGCATGTTTGTGGGAATCTCCAAAAGAGGGAGGGCCATCGCTCGCGCGCTGCCATCGATCTCGCCATCGGTGTCCTTCTAGTACTTTGCTGCAGCGCAGTCGAACCACCTCCGTGCGTGCGCCGATCGTTGAACGAGGCCCTATCGTGTTCTGGCGCGCGCACAAGGCATGGGCAGCGGGAATTTGCTTTCGTGGGTACAGGCCCCATGGCTGCGACGACTCCATGACCGATGCGTCTTGGATGTAATTGCCGCAGCTGCCGATCCAAACCGTCCAGATGCTCCCCCGGTCTCTGCCCCAGTTGGCTTTGGCGCCGCCGACTCCGCCCGTGAATGCATCAATTCCACGGGCAACCGCATAGCGGGCGCCGCAGCTTGGCAAGCGATTGTTGTGCGTGCGGGCCCTCCGATGGCGGTGAATGCCAGTTCGACCGGGTTGAAGTGAGTAGGACCATTAGGCCAAGGTTGGCGCTCTGCCTCCAGCACGGCCTCATTTCCATTCTCATTAATGCAGCTTCAAGTACAACAACACGAATAAGGCAGCGCAGAACTGTGGGGGATAAATGATTTCAGGGAAGCATGTATGCCTTGTGGATGGCCAAGCAGTGGAACGCGAAAGCAGGTACCGAAACGAAACGAAACCCAGCCTAGCGGAATTTTCAAGCCATGCACGACTGTGTTGCTGGCACATGCGGCATCCATGATCCACAAAAATTCGCTCTAGAACTCGCTCTGGAAGGGCAACCTATTGTCCTTCAAATCTTTTTGCTGACTCCGCCTGTTTTCTGGGCACTTAGCGTGCTGCAAACTACTGCTAAAACTGCTACTGTCCTAGGCCACTAAGGTGACTGGAAGCGCGTGGTATCCTCCTATGAAAGCCGATCCATCGACAATGTTGTGCTGGAGGAACAAAGGTTGGTTATAATTTCGGGGTCTTCAGGGCCCTGCCGCGAGGAGTGACTGTCTGCGTGGTGCTCCTCGTGGGTCCTCAATCCCTTGCTGGATATTTGCATGGACAGAGCGCCTCCAATCTCAGAGGCTACCAGGCTGAAGGGGCCGTGCGGCAGAATGCCATGCAGCTATTCCGAAACCGCATCGTGCCAACTTCTGGGTGCCGCGGCGATCTCCATAGCGTGAGGCATCCCCAAACAACGTGATGAGTTGCTGAATGCCTGACACCGCAGCGAGTTTGATGCGCTTGGCGTCAAATTGACGCGCAGGGATGAGGAGTCAAGATCTGCGACGGTAAAAAAAGTATTTGAATGCCACAAATATAATCAACACTTGCCAAAATTGATTCCAAACCTGAAAAATGGAAAAAGGGTGGGTGGGTGGGTGGGGACGTCAGTTCGATGTTGAGCACGGCAAAATCACCCAGGCGTCATCCCTAGAAGCTGCAACATTATCCGTTTGCACGGCAATCTGGGTGCCTCAAATCGGCAACAAACCAATGCCACAACCTGAGAAAGCGGTCAGCTCGAGGCAGCGCAGCGGTCGGCACCATGCCCCTTGCGAAAATGGCATCGGTGCGGCGACGGTGGCCCCTGACGCTCATGATGATCGATCATCAACTGATTGATTTGGGGACCCCAAGCCCCCCCGAGCGCGCGGCCCCAAGGACCCTCCGTCACACCACCTCGGACACCACCCCCCAAGTCACACCCCCCGCCCGTTGAGCTGGAAAGTACTGCGGTCCGCCTCATTACGTCCCCGCGGCCGTCTTGCGCCCAGGTTCCGCCGAATCCACGGCTGCAAAAAGGCGCCGGGCCCCCTGCCCGCCCCTTCGCCAATTGCCGCGCTCCTTGGGCCCCCGCGCGCAGGGGACGGGCGCTGGCGGCCGGCGCGGCTCGACGGCGGCGCCGCAAGGAAAGCCGCCGGCGGTGGCGGGAAAAGGGGGCACCGTTGAAATCTCCGCAACGGAGAGGTGGGCGTGGGCTGGGAAGGCCCCTCGCGGGACGTCTGCGGCAGCTCAGTCCGCTTAAGGCCGGATCTGGTGAAAAATGTCGCGGATTTTGGCCAAGGATGCACGGAAGGGGTCCGTGTGGCCCTGTTGCGGCTGAGTGCGGTGGAATGCGCCGCGGGCGTGGCCCCTATCGCGCGGTGCAGCGGGGTGTGCTCGCTGCGGCAGGGCTGGCTGCCTCGGGGGGCAGCGGGGATTTCGGGGACGCTCCGGGCGGCGGAGTGTTGGGCGCTGGCCGAGACGGTGCCGAGGGCGTCTGGCGCGGGGAGCGCATTTTCTGCGGCGGACGGGCGCCGGCCGACGTGCCCCGGGGATGTCGGTACCGGCACAACGTCGTTCGATTTTGAGGGCATCTCTGTGTTTTTGCGCTAACGGTCTGGAGCACTCGCGGAAGTAGCAGGTGATCATTTCTGCGCCCCGCGCCCGCGTTTCTGCGCCTTGCCTCGACGGATTTGTGGGTCCGATCGTCGGGGAGGTCCTGTTGGAATCGCGCGGTGGCATCTGTGGACGGAGGACCGCCCGGAGACCGGGTGTGTTTCCAGTGCGCCCGCAATGCCGCTTCGGCCCAGCGGTCGCCGGGATCCGTTCGCGCGCTCGCGGCGCCCAACTCAAATTCGCCGCGCCTGCCGCGCTCGGCGCTCGTGCCGATCGTCCCGGCTGCCTCGACCTTGGACGCCGGTCATGCGGACGTCACATTGGACGGACGCCGCTTGCATTTTTAAGGCCGCCCTTGGGGTTGCCCGAAGTGAGCTCTGTTCTCGGAAAGACCCGCATCTGCAGGAGGTGCATGCGTTGCGATAATTCGAGACGCGCCCTGCTCCCGCCTGCTGTGGCAGGGGACGAGGAGCGCGCAGGGCGAGCGGAGAGTGGGTCATAGTCAACGAAGGCGGTGGTCTGCTCTGGGGAGGGATGGTGGGAAAAGGGGGAAGGGGCTGGCGGCCTTTGGAGCTGAAGCTTGTTTTTGGGACGGGCGCCGTCGTTGAGAGGCTCCTTTTCAGAACTGCAGAGCGAAAGCGTGAAATGGATGCGTGCCCTTCACCGCATTGAAAGGCGGCACGTCGGAGACGGGGGGGCCCAGTCTGCAGACGTGCTTTTGGATTCAGGGTTGCATTATTTCAGTGCATTCCAGCTTGTGAGCGCGAGAAATTGTGGCTGGAAGTCAGTGTATTGTCGCTTGCGCAGGGTGCAAATAGGCTTTTCTCTCGACAACGTCGGAGATGGTTGTGTTAGTTCCTCGTTGTGGTTTGTTGCGAGCCATTCATTTCAATGAGCCCTGGCTCTCTGGAGCAACGACGCTGTCTTGGTCCCTGTGGTGGGCGTCGTTGGAGTCCTAGTTATATATGTGTGTCATATGTTCAGTGTGCTCTATGCATTGTATTGTTACTGTGTGCGTCCTCAAACCTATGAGCATGGTGGTGTTCCCGATGTCAAACGATGGAAGGCGCCCTGGTTTCTGAAGTACCAGGAGGTGTGGCATGCTGCTACAGAAATTCTACCACTTGCTCAACCGAGAAGATCTATTTCTGAGGCGCCATGACGATCAGCGTTTTTGGCTGCTTCAAGAGCAAGTCTGCAGTGCAGACGAGAGACCCCCCTGCGGTTGTGACAACTCCGCCTGTGGCGGCGAATCCCCCTGTGGCAGAGGCGACGCAGCAACGATCCCTGGTGCCTGTTGCAGCCGTGGCCAAAAAGGTTGTGCACAATGCTTTAAGGTTGCATGCAACTTCTGGATCCAGGCTTCTGTTGTGCTGGATTGCTGTTAACTGTTGCTCTGGTTTCCATGACTGTTACCAGTGGCAGCCGCTTGTGACATACAGCCCACGTTGATTGCATTGTAATGATTGCATTGTGTGCTTTGTTTTCATAATATTGCTGGCAGGTTGCAAATGCTTTGTTTAGGCTGCTCTAGCCTATCGAGCTCATATAGTTGTGGATAGGTGCAAAAGGAAATGGGCAGCATACCCAGAGTGTGATAGTTGTGCTACAAAGCCTGGACAGTCTCTACCTGACATTGAACCCTGCACGTCTCCACTGCCATACTGTTGTGGCTTCATCGCTTCATACGTGATATCTTGAGGATGCGCAGTGGTCAGTTGGTTCCATCTTTTTGTGGTTGTCTCTGTCACAAAACTCAATGTAATTCTTTTGGGGGCAGACAGCTCGTGCTGGGCTGTTTGGGGTTTGCTTTTGTCTTACTTTTTTGGCCTCAGGAAGTCCAGGTGCTTCAAGTGGCTTGAAAATTGCTCCTTGTTATTGTTACAGGTGGGATCCACTGAGGAACCAGGAGCACGGTTGTGCCCATCTCCACCCCTGGACTTGGCTATGCTGTCCACTCTGAGCTATAATGGAGCAAACAAGGTGTGAACGAAATGTTGATGCTTTGAAGGTGGCCAAAACATTGGCCTTGCATGCAGACTGGATAGTGTGCACCATGTTTGCTTTGATGAGTCCCTTGACATGTATGTTCATTTCTTTTGGCTGTGCTTCTCTTGGCTCAGTTCTGTTCGGTGAGTTCACCTCAGGTTGGATATATGTATGTTCCAGTGCCCACCTTGCAAGCAGTATGGTCCATGATCAGTCCATGATCAGTTCCATTTGCTGTACTTGTCTGATCCTTGCCTCTGGCAACAATACCTGCATTTTTAGATTTTCTGCAAGTGTGCTGTTCGGTTGTTGTCGTTTTGGACTGTTGACAGGGGTCTGCTGTACACAGAATGGACGAACGTCGTCTGCAGGGCGTGTTTCCATGGGGCCTCGTGCGGTGAAGCCTACCGACAGCGCTGCCTCGATGGTTGCAGATGACAATGGACTCAAGGTATTGCACTTCTCCCTCCAGTCCCATGGATTTATATGAAGGGAACTGCAGTTCATTGAGCGTGTACTGTGCAGCTATGCATGCGCTGAATGGAAATGACACAGCCTCGAAGTGCTTTGAGGGGTTGCGTTGTCAGTGGTTGGCAGATTTTAGGCACGGTACAAGGCACCAGGTACTCTGCACGGGCACAGTCGGACAGTTCTTTGAGACGAATTGCTGCCATGCAAACTGCTGCACTGGGCAGTGATGTGCTCCACGGGTGCCTCCGTGCTTCAAAGAGCATGCTGTGCCTGCCTTTTTCTGGTTGCGATGCTTTGTGTTCCAAGTGCTGTGCTGACGCTCCTCAGAGAAGTGCTGGTAGCAGAAAACGCAATAGTGGTGGCTGTGGTGATAGCACCAAAACGCCAGTTTTTCAGTTGCCCTGACACAGATGTCAAGTGTAGTGTCACATTGCAAGCACCCGTATGTCACATACAAGTACAGGTATTGAAGCGTTGCATCACCAGTGGGCCACCAGGCTGACAAAGGGCATTTGCTGTGTAGCCTCTCCCTGAGGAAGCTGCCTCCCTGGATCCAAGGCTGCTGGTCGAGTCGATCAACGACAGGCGGGGCCGCACTGCAGGGGACATGTCCCTTCTGTTGTCCCCCCGCAAGAAGCCCTCCAAGGTGACTGCGCCCCGAAAGGGTATGTCCCTTGTCCTGACACCCAGCGACCGAGAGGAGCTGGAATCTGAGGCGGGCCTTAATGGATCTCTCCCCACTCAAATCCAGACAGTGCCCAGCTCCAAACGCCATGGCCGCAAGGTACTTGTGCAATGGATGGAAGTGACGATTTCCTTATGCTGCTGTGGGGCCGTTTGTCGCACGTGTGGTCCCATTGTGGACCACAGAGTGCTCCTAGCACCGTGTTGTTTTGTTTGTGCATTTCCTGTCGACAGCACCAATGCTGCAGCGCACCATTGCCCATTTTTCTGCAAGGCAGCGATGTGCAATTTTGGTTCACGTGGTCTTTTTGCATGTCCTTTGAGAGCTGCCTGTTCCAGCTGTGCTGAGCTGTCTGTGTGAGTGTGTGTGCTATCGCAGGCCTTCTTTTCAGTTTTTCGCAAGTCGGCGTCAGTCGTCTAGCACTGCAAGTAGGCATCTGCGATCAGTAATGACCAACGGCCTCTCCCTTGTGGCATCGCAAGGGAGCAGCAGGAGGTTGGAAATGGAGTCCTGTGAATGAACTTGGTTCAGAACAGCAACATTGGAAGGGCGCCAATGAAGTTGACCATGTTGCCAGCACCCGATGTGGGGATGTGGATGGCGTTGAAAGCAGCGTGGCTGCTCCAGACAGGAGGTGACTGGAGGTGATGCGAAGGATTTGTGGAGGGCCAGCTGTTATGTGCTTAGGGATGGCGAATCCAAGAGGCTGCAGAGATGCAAATCACTGTTGGGTTGTGGGCAGTATGGCTTGAGGGAAGGGGGGGAGCTTTTGGGGTGTTCCTAGGGAACATGTGGAACCACCTGGCATTGCAAGACTGGGATTGTAGTGAAAGAGACCAAGGGGACGGGATGTGATGCTGTGCATAATAAAGAGTGCTGCTGGTTCCATGTCACTTGATTTCCACTTGCCAAATGATCGTTCACGTAAGGGGACGCTGCAAGCCTTAAAGGATATTGCTCCTCAGGTCTGATTAAGGTCTTGATTCTTGGCACCAATCCGGGCCCTTGGAGAGGATTGGATTGGTGTCGTGCTCATGTGGGTTGCGCGACGCAAGGGCACCAATGTGGAACTGTTGACACACGTTGGGGTGTTGCTGCCGGGCACAATTCGAGGTGGGTTGCGCACTGGCGTCCTGCATCCATTTTTTGTCGTTTGGGCATTCGAAGAGGGCAATAGCTCCTTGCGGGCGAATGCAGTCAGGCTACAGTGGTTTCCGTCGTGGGGACGAGGTGGTGTGCACGAACTTCGAACCAATTGTCAATTGATGCACAGGGGTGGCAGTGACGGTCGAGTCCAATAGTTGGGTGTCTATATCGTACGACCGGTTGTGGCTGACCGGTCCATGCTGCGATTGTTGCTATATCTCGCGGTTTCTGTTGCCAGTTGGGGAGTTTCGCTGATGAGAGGCTCCTGTACTTAAGTCCAATGTTCCAAGGGCTTGGAATATTGGACCTCTTGTGGCGAAGACGCCATCATGAGCGGTCATGATGTGCATGCCCTACAACAACAACAGTGGATGGTATCCGCATTGTCCTGTACTGTGTGATCGAAGCCTTGTTCATCGTTCCCGCTCCAGAGCACGATGCACTGCCGAGGCCGGCCAAAGTCCGGACGCCTGGGCCGGCATAGGTGGGCAAAACTGCCCCCGTTCATGCGATGAGTGTCTGGATTGTGGACACCTACTGTCACAGGAAGCAGATATCACACTTCGTAATGTCGGCACACTATGTGGGCTGGTGACACCAACGACCATTTGGTGCCCTGCCCCACCTTGCACTTTCATGCTGGTGGATACTGGGCCGGCACCTCCGCTGGCGAGCCTGGAATATGTGTACCTTGCAGCATCCCATGAGCTAAATGGAGCCGACATTGCTCAGAGCCTGAACTTCGGTTGGGTTTCGTCGCGGTACAAGCTCGGAGACTGGAGAAACGCGAACGAGAAGACAAGCTACAGCTCAAGGCAAAGGCTACACTTGAGGCCTGCGTCATTCATGGGTAGATCCTGAACTACGCTTCCCAACGAAAGGTTCCAGCTGGCAGTGGCCATGGCCAAGTCAGTGCTCTCTGGATTCCTTATGCCGGTGCCACGCGCATTGGCAGGGTCCCTGGGCTTCATCGATAGGACGGAGTCATTGAATACCAATGCCGTACGGGCAATTGACTGTACGGTGCGCATTTCAAGATACCACATCTGCCAATTACATATCGATTTTCCGGCCTCAAAAAGGACCAACGTTGCCAATGCGAGCATTGGCCAATTGGATTGCCATCGGCCGACTTGCAACCCGCATGAGCTATTGCCCCACAACATCCGGCACGGCACAATAGTGCACGCGGCCACCAACCGCCAATATCGGGGCACACCCTAACAGTTGCCCCCGAACAAGGCTTGGATGAAGGCGCGTGACGCATTCGACACCAACCGCAGGGAGTGCCTGATTCCCAAAGCATGAGCACGGAGCAAGATCCCTTCACCCGATTTATATCATCCTGAATCCAAGATTCTTGTGAAGTTCGCAGCCCGCGGGGTGCCTCCTGTGAGGCAGGGAACGGCAGCTCATATTGCCGAGACCGGCCCCACATCAGGGAAATATCCTTGTGCTGACGGGAAGGTCCTTCGATACCCTTTGCCGGTCCAACTCCTCACGTCTCCTTCAAGCCGAACAAGATTCTTCTTCGGCAAAAGTCTTGAACTTTCCCAGGCATTCGCTCTCGACGCCCCATCAGCTAACGATGCTTTTCGCGTGACAGGAACGTTCTATCCCGCCATCGAGTCCTGCACCCCGCTAAATCTTCCCGAACCACTGCCACCCCCTTTCTCCTCTGACGCGCACAGATAGCCTACAGTCCTCCCCGCAACCCAGCACAATCTTGCATAGAACCCCAACGCCGCCACTAGAATATTGCCAACGACGCGGGCCAACAGGCCTACTGGCCGTTCGCCACGGGCGACGGTGTCCCGGGCTTGGAGCCCCGGGCCCAACCCTCTTTCAAACGTTTCAAATCCTCTTCAACTTTGCGGCGGCATTCCTTCTCACTAAGCAGCTCTCTCTCCAGCTCCTCCAGCCGCGACCTTAGAGCCTGAGAAACGAGCAGCGAACGCGTGCTACTTGACTCCGAGCAGGCATCTTGGCAATTTGAGAGGATTAAGTCATGCTAGCTTGAGAGCTGCGACTACATGGACTCTGTGCATGACCACCACCGTTGTTTAACAGAACGCGATTGCCTGCACCGCCAGCGCGTGGTTTGATGCAGCAGATGCAAATAAACAACACAAGGGCAAAACCCCTTGCACACAAGTCAGTCCGTTGCACCAGGATTGCACAATGTGCGTGCAGCGTTCAGGAAGAGGAACATTCCTTAGCTGCACTTCCACTTCTGTCCGCACGGTGGGTAGATATCGTTGGATGGCGCTGAGGAAGCGATCATGCAACTGCGTGTGTTGAGAAGCAGCCACAAATGCCGCACTGAATGCGTCGGCGCTCCTGACCCAATTTGTGCCATTTTGCAGTGTCTTTCTGTTCAAAGTGCTGGCTGCTTTCTTGTCCTTTTATGTCCGCCCCTTCTACATTCTGCCCCGTGTCCCGGATTTGATCGGTGTGACATCCAGTGAGTGCACGCCCGCAGTGTGTATCCGACACTGCTTTTTGATACTGCTTCCTTACCGAAAGCTGAAAGCAGTCGTTAAGAAGAGAAGGCTTCCGCTGCTGGGCGTGTGGCTCGCACTATTCCCATGCTTTGTTGTAGATCGAATTGAATACTAATCTATGACTGCACACTATCACATGGTGCACATGGCTTGCGTATGAACATGCTTTTGGAAACCAATTTGATCCATTCCTGATGTGCTGGGGCTGCTTGAAGAAGCGTTACTGATAGCAACCGTGTGGTTCTTGGCGAAATCGCGTTACTGGAAACAGCACTTTCATGAAGTTTTGAAAGGAAGCCAAAGAAGACAACAAAGATGATGCCACTAGTAGCGCATTGAATGACACCAAGAATTTCTCTTCCATTTGCTGGGTTGCAACACGACAGTGCATCCAGAAACATCTTGTTTTTCCCCATTGTTCCTGAGATGCTTCCCGCCAGCAGGTTCCAGAATGTGGAACAAAAATTAAATGCAATACAGCTCTACCAACGCAAGATCAAGGACACAGAATCCGCTGAAAAAAGTCACGGCACCGATGTATTACCGCTGAGCATGACGAGTTCCTGGTCGAATCACTGTGCCGCGAGTGCCCAGAGGCCACCGATGCGTCGTCATCGTTGAAGCGCCTGGCATAATGAGACGTCCAAAAATTCTCCGCCACAGCATTTTCTTTCTCGACGCGCTAAGAGGACAGAAGTCTTGAGTTAGTTGGGGCGGTACGGCCACGTCAAATCACGCTCCAGGGTGCAAAATGTGTGGTCATCGCGTTGACAAAACTGTTCTCGCAAGTTCTCAAGATGCTTATTCCCCCGTGTGTGTTTTTGTGGTAGCATTCAGATGTGGCAGATCGTAGAACAGTGTGCGTAATTACTTTTTGGTTTCATGGTTTCAGTGAAGGGGTACACTGCCCAGCAACACGCAAGGTAGTACAATGCAGTGGTAGCAACAATATATACAATCATCAATGTTCTGAAGCACGGTACTTGCGCTCCAACTAATCTACGGCACGTACAACACGATATTGCCCCACCTGCCTCCAGGCATTAGCCAACTGCACTTGGTAGAGATTGTACGCCATGAGTCAGTCCGGATTCAGGGAATTGGCTGGCGGCCTGCCCAGCCAAAAAGACTTTCAGCAAGACGAATGCTGAAGACAGTGCCGACATCAGATGCAGAATATGGGCCACGGGCGTAGTGAGAGATGCGTGTTGGACGAGCAACAAAATTGAGAGGACAGTCCTGTCCAAGCCCCCACAAGTCTCCACCGCGCCCTTTACCGCCGTTCGAGCACCTGGAAATGACATTTGAAGAGCGAAAAGTGTAATTCGAAAATTTTCATGCATTTGACCGCCTTCTACCACTTCCACAATCCTCCAGTAACGTGGCACAATTGCCCAATTCAACGCGAGCGTCACCCCAACAGAAATTTGCCACATGGCACCGTTGCTTTGTGGATGCTCGGAACCATGCCCAACTGCCATCTCAGAGAGCTCTCTCGCAGCCAGCCCGCAGAAAACGCAGACGTGCTCGCCTGAGCCCACTTGACAGGACTATCCAACGTCCAACTACACCTCACATTCGCCCTTCAATCAAGACTTCCCACCGCGGACCCCACGCCAAACGTCCCTTGAACTCGCTCACCAGGACCTGGGTGGTCAGGCCCACCATTTTCTGCACCGCTCATCCCCTATCCCCGCGCCAGACCGCATCTCCGTCCCCACGGACCTCCATCCATGCGTCCACCGACCTCACCAGAGAACCAGAGCAGACAAGCCACCCTCTCACCAATCGACCTCTACCCCGAGCCACACGGCCTCGAAGTTTCGCTACCCGCTGCGCCGCCACTCACTTCCCCCAGCCCCGCCGGACAACAGGACAACTCGTCCCCGCGGCAACTGCACGGTCGCCAAATAGCGAACGACCTCCTGCTCCACCCCCAACCTACATACACCAACAGACGGCGGCCGGCAACACAGCCGACTGCCGCTTCACTTGGCGCCACCTGCTCCCCGGCGCCCCCCTCTGGCAGTACGCACTCAACGGCCAGGCCAAGCCCCCAACTCGAAGGTCTCTACCGCCACAGTCGCCCTTACTCTGCGTCGACTCGCGGATAGGCGCCCACAAAGAGCCGCGGCTCCACAGGGCCGACGCCCGTCCGGCGCTCTCCCACCCACCTGTCATGGGAGGCCTCGCTGCCCAAGTCGCCGCCTGGGAGTCCGCTGGGGCGGGCAGCAGGGCGGGGGCTCGCGCCTTGTGGTCGGACAGTATTGGAAATTGACGCCGTCAAGCCGACGGTTGGGTTTGTACGGGAGGGGCAGCCGGGGGCAGGCGGAGTCAGCAGCGGACGTTGGATGGGGGCAGGGGGGGGGGGAGCAAGCCTTCGCGGAACTCCCGGTAATCAATGCTGCCGCTTGACAAGTGCAAATCCTTTTCGCAAAACAATGTGTCCGTCATTCGAAATGCGTTGATGAAATTTTGAAGTGTCACTGGGTGCCCAATGTGGGCCGTGAACAGAAACCGTGGCCTCCAACGGTTCTCCAGTGAATAGCTCAATGCCTGGGGACATTTCTTGATGACGTCCCTGGGGCTCAACCGCATAGTCTCCCTGATGAAATGAATCTTCTGCTGCATCAAGGGGCCTTCCGAAGCACAGGTCAGTATTGAAGGCTGCATGACATATACATGGAGAAGCTCTTGTTTATCCGACCCAAGGCCCATCAAATATTGGTGGTTGAGTGTAAGCTTCTGTACTGAGTAGCCGAACAGACTTGGTAGCTTCCGGATAACAGTTGCCATAGCTTCACCATGAACACCTACACTCGCAAACCACTGGATGGTCAGCTTTAAATTCTTGTCTGTGGAGCAAACCAGCACCTGAGGGAATTTTTGATGACAACTGCCATGGCATCGGCGTGCACCCCCACACTCGAAAACCAATCGACCGTTGGCTGCAAATTGTCGTCCATGGAATAACACAGCACCCGAGGGAATCATGGCAGGGGGGAGAGCAGGTGGGAGCGATCCGCCCTGGTGTTCCTTCGTCGAGCATGTATTTTTCACTATCATCATTCACTTTTGCCTAACAAGGCAAAGAAGTAGCCGCCAGCTTTCTACTTTGCCCTAGCAAAGCAGAAACATGTGTTATGCAGTATGTGCTCAGGCAGAGTCGACTTTGCCCTGATGTGTTAGTCATTCTTGAGGTAGTGATCGTCGATTTTCGTCGTTTGAGGAAGGCGAAGCAGACGTTTCAGCTGTTGGGGGGGTACAATCTGTGTTGTGTTGTTGTGTCAAAACCGTAGTCTCCTCGGTAGTCGGGGCACACACGAAATCCTGAGAAAACTACAGGGTAGAGAGCAGTTCAAGGGGCTGCGGTCAAGGAAGGACAGGGCACTGAGACCCGTCTCCCACCCGCGTCAGCAAAGGGGGAGAGGTTGGAACTGGCGGGGTCACACAAATGGTGAAAGCAGGGGGCTTGCCCGTGGGGTAAATTGAATGCATCCTCGAGTATAAAGCAAGTATCCACTTGATAGGGCGTTGGGCGTTTTCCCCATGGCACTTGTCGCAAGTATGACGGGTGGGACCCCATGCAAGAATATGCACTATTTTCCGTTCCTCTTGCTGAACCTTGAAACCATCGACTGGAGCGGCCACACCCTGAGGACAATCCCTGATGCTTGAGACACTGGAGGACAGGGTGGGGAAGCCACAATGATATACACTTGCCGTATCTGCAGGTAGCTCTGGTTGGGACTCAAACCCGTGGCCGGATCGAATTGGATTGGATTGGTGGGGATCGGTATCGTGGCACGGTTTCGATGCACGCCATTCCATAATCATGACCACTCGCCCCATCGCGGCCTTGTCGGGTATACGTCGCAACAAGAAGCGGCAACTTGATTCTTGTCCAGCCAATAGGTCTTCGTTGGGTAAGGTGGATATCTGTGCATCGTGCACTTGACACACTTGCAGCAGCGGTGAAGCAGTCCATTGCCTGTGCTTGTTTTCGGCAAGAGCAGCCATGACACGTCGGTCAACACTGCTGACCCATCACATAGAGCGCTTGGGACTGACCCAAATGAGCCAGCTATGGATGCCCACCAGTGTCGCATGCCGACCAACCCCTAGGCCGACCAACCCCAACCTCTGCTGCACCATACTATTGGCAACAAGCAACTAGCGCTGAATGCAACCCATCTCCTTTCCAATGAGGTGTTTGAACTGGCCACAACCTCTGCCACACTTTGATCAGCACATATGCAATAGTGCACCCCGTGCGCTCACCAGCACCAATTCCTGCAGGCAGGAGCCCAATCTGTGACCAAACCATGCTGGAATTGTGCATAACTGTTGCAATTTTTGCAGCCACCCAAAGCATCATGCATCTGGGCTGGTGATCAAAACATGCCTGGGTGACAAACGGGCAAAACCTGTGCTGAAAATCGCATTTTCAGTGACCTTGGCTGATGATCGCGACAGCGAACGCGGAGTAAGCATCAGCCTAATAATCAGTCATATTCGAATCTGCTGTGCCCCGCCCCACTCATAAACAAAATTTGTACAATGTAACTGGTACGAAGAACAACACTGGTTGATAGATTGCATTGGCAATGGAAATCAGATCCACACGTCCACGACAGCGGCCAGCACTTGACAAGGGCAGGTGTCGAGCATTTTGGCTCGTCAAGGCGCTGGCCAGACAAGATATGGACCCAAAACATGTGGACGGGCCACAAGCATGGTCGGCCCGCCTTCAAGGCCAGCAAGTTACAATGGACTCCCTCCAAAATCCCGATTTTCTTCCCAGGCCCGCAGAAGTTCGCAAAGCGGTTGACGATACGTTCCAAGCATCCGTACACCGTCGCCCATTCCCCATGGTCTGCTCCGCCACCCACATCCTCAAAACATCGAAAACAATTTTACATGTGCCCAGCGTCCGCTCACGCGCTCCCTACAACTTCCCGATCCCCCTCAGGCCCAAGATGATCCCTGCACCCACGCAGTGCCCAAAGGACCCCAGTGCCAGGCAGTCCACCGCCGTGAACCCAGCCGGATCACCAGACTTCATCCCCGACGGCGTGTCCTGCAGCTTGAGCCCCACGTTCGTCACCTTGTTGGCGGTGGGCGCGAATCCAAACCTGCCCGCCGCGAGGCACAGCGCCGTGGACGCCACCATGATGATGTTGGGCGTGGAGCCGATGAAGTCGCAGGTCGTCTTCAGGGGCCGCCTGGATCGCCGGCCCACGGCCGGCAGGCTGATCGCCCGCGCGGGGGGCGCCCTGGGGCTGGCCCGGAACCCGGTATAGGTCCTCAGGCCCTTGCTGGTCATCGTCTGGGACGCCATGACGGCCGCAAGCGTCCGCTCCGGGCTTGTCCAAGCGACGGGGGAGGGGCTGGCTGAGGCGCGAGCGGCACGCGGATCTCCAAAAGAGGGTGGGGCCCAGGTCCGCGAGCCCCCTTGCAAGATCCGCGCCTGATGAATTAATTATTGCTCCGGAATGGGCAGATCGAGGAAGAAAACTTGCGCGGCGGGCGGGGCGGAGGGAGGCAGGAGATTTGGGCCGCCATGGCCGCAGGTCTGGGAAAAGCGCGTGTGGAGTGCCACGTGGATTCAAGGGGGGTCGGGATACTTGCCCAAGCCGCCCCCTGGGCGCCTGCCCCCCGCTTTGCACCGCCGCGAGCCCACCGCCCCGCCCCACAGGCCGCCCCGCCCCGGGAGGTCGCCGCCAGTGTGGACGGCGCGCGCTGCAATGGCGTCCCTTCACGCTGCCCAGGTTTGCATTGGGGCGCAGGGGCTGTGATCGGAGCTTGTCTTCTGATGCCGTCCCCTGGCGTGTGGCGTTGTTCTCCGTGCGCGAACGGCAGCGCGCAGTGAGCCGCGCGTGCAGCTGCAGTTTGGCCTGCCTGTGTGTGGCGAGGCTCATTGTGCGCAGACTGCTCCTTATGGCGCTCCTGATGGGCCTCTTTGGCAGGAAGCTGTTGACGTCGACATGAAAGCCGGCTGCTATATCCGCGGAAGGGTCGCCCTTGCAAATGAGCCACCTTGTTGAAATTTGCGACAGGGCATTCCGTGATAAACTTGCTTTGAGGCCTGTTTCCTTCTATTGCTGGCTGGTTGGCGGTGATTTCTCCGCTGGGTGCCTGCAACAGTTTGATGCTCTGTACCTGCCGTACACGTCGTTTTGAAAGGGGAGTTAGCGTGCTCCGTTTTGAAGAAGTGCTACTTACGTTTTGGCGGCATGGGCGTTGTCAACACTAAGAATTCAGACATTAACGCATGCCCAAACCTTTGCGTTCGTGGGATGGGCGTTCAGCGTTGAGGAACATGGGGGGGCGACTCTTTATGTGTTGGTGTAAGAGTCGTTTCCACGGGCAAGGAAATGGGTGCCTTTCCGCCCCTCGCGATAAGAGATGGCCCTTTTCCCCCTTATTCTTACAAGTATCACCAGCAGTGTCTGGTGATGTGGGCAAGCGTTGCTGAATTTCAAAAAGTACAGGCTCCTTTGGTCGCTTGCGACGCCAAGCGGGCAACAGCTGAGACACTCTGTTATCCAGTTGGACAGATGACTGATGATTGATCTCCATACTGCACATAGTGATGACTTAAGGGGTAAAAGTTAAGCAGACAATTTTCAGTGGATGAGCCTGGAGGTTCTATTGTGCGCTGAATGAACAACTGGCAATTTTCGACTATGTTGCAGGAATCTCAACGCCTGACTTTCAAATCAGCTCTTGGTGGCCTCTCACAGCTGGGGCCCAGCCAGCGGGGAGCGCCCCATGCCATTAACACTGGCCGGTCCGTTTCCGTCACGGCAAAGAAGAAGTCTGGCACCATCAGCCTGCCGTCGTTCTCCAAGAAGGTGAAGCCTGTACCTGTACCCGTGCCCAGTGTCGTGGTGGAATTATTGCAAGGCACGCACGTCAGTACATTCAGGCGCTTTTGAGCAGAGAGACTGTCCTGATAGTACAATTGTTAACTAGAAGGGTCGTTATGCACAATGAAGTCTGCTGTGTGTAAATGTCTCTGAAGTGCTTGATGTGAGAGTTGAATTGATCCTCCTTCCCTTGGACGAAGCCGAGCCCAAGAGTCACTTGCAATCGCAGTTTGTGCTCATCACTGTATCAAGCAAAAGGAGAACACTACTCTGCATATCGTCATGTCATACTTATCAATATATTCCGGCATCGAAGGCACCCCCATTTTCCCACTGGGTATGCATGGGTTGTTCAAAGTAAGGGTTCCAACAATCAGAAGCTTGTGTTGCATGGACTTGGCACCCTTTCCAGGTGCTGAAGGATACATGCGAGGATAAGGTGCACATACATTTTGACAAAGACATCAATATGCAGTAATTGTCCATTATGAAAGCCCTTCTGATGGTTTTCACAGCTCCACCATTTGGGAAGGAGGAAAGAGAACTGCAGCTTCTTTTTGGGACAGAATACATGTCGTAGACCTTGCCTGCGATGTTTTGAAAAAGAAGGTCAAATCATAAACTGGCATTGACATGGTCACTTCCTGCAATATGCTGACAAAAGCACTGCGTTGCAGGCGACGACCATTAATGTCTCATTTTCAGAAGAGGACTTCAGGGACAAGGTCCCGGTGGCCGAGTCACCAGCACCCCGCATTCTCAGCAAGTGAGGGGGATGTACTGTGATCAAATATATGCGGCGCAGGAATGTTGTTCACACTGCAGATCAGATAATTTCAAGGGTTTGCTCTGTAGCAATTTTCTTTCTCCACATGTTTTGCAAATGTGCTGACTGTGAGAGAAATCGATTTCGGTCTGCTCAAATTGGTTGCGTTTGGGTCCACGAAATCATGCTTTAGCGTGTGTTGGGAGTGCCTTTGTATTGAGACTCATAGTACATATCTTTTGTGCGCCAGAATCGAGAAACTGAAGCTCTTGACAAAGCTGGAGGAGGCCCGTGTGCTGTCAACGTTGGAGAGCAGCGGCCTCACTCTCTCCAAGATTGAGTCACTCGGTCTCCTGTCGATCGCTGAGAGGCTTGGGGTGCTTTCTGCGACCTCAAGCAGGTCAGGTTTTGACGAATCGGCTGTGGCTCAGTGCTGATTCAAATTACAATACAGGTTTTTGCACACACACGTACACAGACCCTCTCCCCCGTCACCCACCCACCCCCCTACCCATAAGTGTACCTGGACACCCCCTTCTAGACTGATTTTGTACACTGCATTGATGGATGCCGTGACGCCATGTCGGTATAAGGAAGAAACAAACAGACAAACACACCTGCATGCAAGAAAATTGAAACCATGGGAATGCAGGGTACTGGAAGGATAGAACACTTGACTTCAACGGCTCCCATTTGACAGGCAGTTCAGAGCTGCTGTGGCTTGTTGTCCTCAACAATTCCGAATTCCTACCTATCAGGGTTGAAGCGCTTTCTGGTTTTGTATGTGAGGGCTTTGGTTGGAATCCTGATCACAATACAATCGTGGTGCAAAGTAAAATTGGTTTGGATTGCAGCAGATGGCCAGTCTTGAGTACTTGTGCATCCATTCTCATGGGAGGCCCACTCCTGCCACCTCTGACAGCCACTCGTGCATGAGAGCTTTGACGTGAGGCAGAACCCTGTTGGGGTACGTCGGGTCTCACTTGGCACGATGTTGCAGGGCGACTCCATACCTTGTGTACCTTGCTGCACTCGGTCTGCTCGCCGCTGGCCCCGCGGTCGTGTACCTGACCCCAGACGAGTCCACGGCTCAGGTGATCGGCCAGTTCGCCATCGCTGCCGTGTGTGCAGTGGGAGGTGCCGCGGCCTTTGGAGGCGCCAGCCTCCTTGCCTCCCTGCAGCAGAAGTAGACACGTCTGGGCCTGACGCCTCTGGCGCCTGAGCAGCTTGCACCACCACACCCAAGTTTCGGTGTTCCGAAGAAGAGCTGAGGTTCTGGTATTCCTCCACCCATTTTGACACCTGTGTGGACGTTGGCATGGGTTGCGTGGACCTTGTGGCGGGGGAATGCATGGATTCGCATGCATGTGCATGGATTCACATGGATTTGTGAATTTGATCCCAGGCTTTTTCTGGCGATTTCCAGTGATGGGTCGGAGATTCTCGAGGTGCGTGGCGGAACCTGTTGCCATGCGGTGGTGCTCTCTGTGGAGTGTTTGCTCTTTTAATCCGAGAAGATAGTGTTTTCAAAGCATGGTTCCGATCAGGTGAATCATTGGGCATGGCGCCCCCACGCAAAGCACGCCCAATCCAGGAAAGGTTGTTGAGCCACTGTTGCACTGCATGCACTGGCGGTCCATCGGTGGATATGAGGGTCCACACCTCGCGTCATGCCTGGGCCAGACAGACAGGCGACTGATTGAAACAAATTTTGTGCAGATTATGAGTTAGTACAATATCAACTTGCCAGCGTCCATGCAAACAACAGTCTCCTTGTATGTGAATCCCAGTGACCATCAGATCATTCATGGTTGAAATTTGCATTATGCGATGCATGACCACGTGCGCATGCACACATTTCAGTCGTCTTAGAAGATTCCTGGAACGATGAAGGTGGCGTGTGGGCGTTCAGTCTGAGAACTAGTGTCAAATGCCGCAACAGGAATGGTGAGGCGCGGTGCTGAAAGCGCGGTGTGGAGCCAGCCCGTTGTGCAGCATGCCAAAGGCTTGCAAACAGTGCCAGTGGTGACAATCAATGCGGCGACGCGGAACAGGGGCTCCATGTTGACCTCAAGCGAGTACTGCACAATCAGTCCATTCCAGAATGCTAAGGCATAGTCTGAACCTCGATGCAACCAAGGATTCTAGGCCTGTGCTCTTAAGCGGCTCGTCACAAATGCCTAACTCCGATTGCCATCTGACGGCACAATAATGCTGTGGTCCTCTTCTTCCAACAACATCCAGGCATGGGCTTTTGTTCCCAGCTCCGTGCATTGCGGGTTCAAAGGGATTGAAGCACGATTGGGTACAATTATCTTCAAGCGATTATCTGATGATGAAATTCAAAGGGAAAAACACGTAAATGATCACAGCTCCCTTTGAGTGATGATCAGCGTTCCAATCCGCTTTCTATGGAAGAATCTGGACGGCGACATGAATGGCGACGCAGCAGTTGACCGCGGTTTCGGCACATCTCATCCCGCGGCGGGATTCCTGCCATGCCAACGAAGTCTCCACATTGTCTGAATTTCGTCACAGAGCTCGCCCTCTGCAACTTGGGGTCCCTGGGGCTCACGTCATTAACGAATATTCATGTTGGACACTGCTACGCTAGGTTCAGAGTGGGACAATATCGGAGGCAGGCACAGCCACGGGCTTGGGGACACAGCTGAGGGTACAGAGTTACAGATAGGTCACGGACAGGCGTGTCCCTTTATAGTCATACAGCCATCTCTCAACGACGGACCAGTCACTGTCATATCAACACCATCAACTGCTAACATGATTGACAATGGTCGATGTGCATTGCTCTCGCCCGGTGTCAAGCCAGTGGAATGCAACCTGGCGCGGGTGAAGCGCCAATGTACAACCGCCCCATACTCTGGCTGGATAAATTGTGTTGCGCTGCTTCCGGTTTGCTCACCGCGCCCTGCGCACAACGGAGCCCGGGGACAAAGGAGTGCACGTGTAGATGGCGCAGGCGCAGAGGTTTTGGAAATGTTGAGGTAACGGCGCTCTGGACGCCGGGGGAGACTCGTGAGATGCTGCGTGGCCGGCTCTGTTGGACGGCATGCCCAAATCGATGGCGCGAATTGGATATCCCTACGTCGCCTTCGGCTGCAAAACCTGGGTTTCGGTCCAACAGCTCCGCTGCTTTGGAGACGCTGTCTTGTGTACGGCGATGCATATCCTAATCTCACCACTCATTGCCTCGACGGTCGGAATCTGTGTGCTTTGGTCGTTGCATCCTCCTCCTGTCTCGACGACCGTGCCGCGCCCACTGTCCGCATGTGTACCCTCAGACCACATTAATCCTGTCAGATGTGGAAATCTCCTTGCCCCCCCACCGATCGAAACATGATGACCCCGTTCGTGGTACGGCCATATGGACATGGAGACATAGTCATGCGCAATTTTCTGTGGAAGGGGAAGGTGGGGCTGCCTTTTTGCCAACAATAATGCGAGCGCGCTGGATGTTTTGCAGCATTCAAACTCTGGAGCTTACAAACAGCAGTGTTGCTGCAGGTACGTGCGGCGCATTGCAGTTGCGGCTGCCGCTGGAGCTGCAGGAGCTGCTGCAGTGTCTGCTGCACTGTATTGGTACAGGTATTACTTGCACCAAGCAACAAGCAACTTTGGTGCAATGCTCTTGACACTTTGGAGTGCAGGGAATTCAGCAAACAGTCTTCAGCAGATTGACGCATTGTGGTGCATAATTCCATAGACAAAGTTGCAATGGCAGTAGTTGGGATATTTGGCAATGTGTTCAAAGGAGTGCCTTTCTCACTCTCTGCACAGCAGCATTGAACTCCCAACGATATTGCAGATCAAGTACCAGAGGCCGCTGCAGGCACATTTCTGTGCATCAAGATCAAAGCCTGATGATCGAGAGCCCTGTGATCAATTTCAGGGTGTGAAATTATGTTGTGGAGCCACTGACGTGCCAGAAAGCCTGAAATCATCAATATGGGCTGATAATTTGTTCGCCATGCAAGAACCATCGCTTCTTCATTGAACAGAAGAGAGAAAACAGAATGTAGGCTCATGGCAAGTGGACTTTTATCACATCTATCTCGGCAATGCTCAGTGTGTTTGGCGACCAGACCGCTCCTGCCATACTGCAGCGGGCTGAAAACTTGCTTCTTGTGTCTGAGCAAGCTTAGTTTTTTTGTCACTGTTTGCTCATTCGGTTGCATACAGTGCTTTGTTGTTTGTCCTGCTCAGAACAGTGCTGCTTTGCTCTCTACAGGAAATACTGGAGTGAAGAAGATGTGGCAAATGGTACATGGTTGGATGACTGGGAACGCCACAAGCACGATTGTGTGAGTGAAGAGTTTCAAGGAAGGGAGGATGAGTGTGTAAGGCTGCACTTTCAAAACATCCAGGAGATCGCTGACAGGATACACTGGCCAAGAGTTCTGCCAAAGATTCGTGAAGCCGTGTATAAGGTGGGAGGCAGCTCGCGATTCTGATGTCCCATCGTGGGTCTCAGGGTGACCAGTATGTATGCTTGCCTCCTGCACGCTAGCTTGCCCTACAGTGTAAGCAATTGAAGGGACTTCAAGCATGCCATCAAGTTGTCACAAGCCATGCACTTCAATGTCTAAAGAAACTTCGAATGCTGGGGCTGGCACGAGCAATGTAGCAAACTGCGTTTCACACACAAATAGAGTGGCTAAGATCCACCAAACTTGAGGGCCAAGATCATCCTATCAACCTGATGGAGGGGTGCCACAGGCACATCAAGTTGCGCACGAGTGTACAAAACAGAACATGGACTCTGGAGCCCTGTGAAAGCCCCTTTTTGAAGGGTGAAGTTTCTTGTCACCCCCTGGGAGTACTTTGGCCCAGTTCTTTGCTGGTCACAGTGTTGTATACTTGTATAGGATGCCAAGCAGTGGTCAATGTCACCCCCCTCCAAGGAGAAAAAAGAGAATCAGCTGGTTGCACAAACAAAAAGAAAGTGGCGTGAAGACTTTGGTTAGCGTATGGAAGGTGTTTACCCACCCACTCGCCCACACCACCCCCACCGTTACCCACACAGAAATATGAACCCACCTTATCCTTGCTAGGATGGGGTGATCCTGTGTATCCTGTGGGTTCTTGGGAGTGTAACGCATTGTGACGCACACCCCTTCTTTCCTCCTTTATTCTACAATGATCAGCTGGGCAAATGCCCTAGTGGTATGGACATGCTGCATGACATTCTGAAAGCAAGGCAACATGTGACATCATCTAGGTATGGCTTCACGCCAAGAAAGGTGCAGTTTGTATTATGTGCCTCTTTCTTAGGTATGCACTCACACGCACACATATGGAGCAAGCCAAGCTGCGTTGACAGGAAGTAACACTGTAGTAACACATAGTTAGTGCATTCTGCAGTCCACTCACCTAGCAAATTGTAATATCTGCAAGCATTTCTATGCATCAAGTGAAGTGAATCCTTTGCAATTAGTTACAATTTCTTGTTTCTCGGGCAGAGCATACCTGTTGACCGTGCTTCAGACTTCTGCTGACTGACTATCAACCTCTGCTTGCTGTGTTGCGCTCTCCTTTTCCCTGCTGCTGCTGCTGTGAAAATGCTTGAATTCTGTAACAGCTTGACAATGCACTGGCCTTTCAACCATCAGGCAATGTCGCCCCTAGGAATCATGTTGACATGATGGCCATACAGTTGCTAACACCATGGATGTTATTTGCATCCAGGCTGCCGATGTGGACTCCATAACTCAGGAGGTGAAAAAAGCGCGCAGTTTGCGGTCTTCTTGCTCTCCTGTTCGCCAGGCATCGGTCACCAAAGTGGAGAAAGAGTTGTGGATGCAACTAGAGATTGCTAGCTTTGGAAGACTCATCGCATGCTGCTGGCTCGTCCCTCTGCATTTTCTCATCACCAGAGTTTTCTTGAGCATAATCGGTGAGCACATCGAGTACTTGCACATGGCCTGTTTAGGTGCTTTGTGTGTCAGTGCTCAACATTTGCACACTTGGACGATTGGGCTGTTGACAAGATCCATAACATGTGGATGCTGCCAGACATCTTGGAGATCGTTGACTGACACTGCCAATGCAGTGCCACTGTCCAGGAAAAGGGTTGGTTGCATTCGCATACTGTGAAATGGGGAATCCGTGCCCGCTGGATTGCTCTATGGCAGAATTTACTCAGGCTTGCTTGCCGCATTGGCTGACGATGCGCTATGGTGCCTCAAGCAGAGCTCATGCACGGACAGTATGTACACATCACTGTTTTGAAGAGCTTGGCACTGCACCGCTCTTGCTTGTTCATCTCACCTACCTGCCATGGAGGGTTGGTGACACCAACTGTGCGTCAGGTCAATGGCTGTGCTCAATTCTGTGAAAACTTTTCAGGACTAGTGAATCGAAAATGGGGGTATGGGTAAATGAATCTGGACTACATAATCAAATGTCGACAAAGTGCATTGTGGATGCACACTGTACAATCTTGGTACAGCACAAATAACCACGTTTTCTGCAGACTGCAGCTCGCTAATTCAGGTAACTATGACAACCAACCCCAGGCCATGTTGTGGAAAACAGACAAGCAGTACCCAGCCAGAAATTGTTATGTATATGCGAGACAAACTTGGCCCTGAAAATATGGATATGACGTTATGGATATGGACCAAGGCCCAACCAGCAAAAGGTACCAAGTGTCAGGGGCTGATTTGTCAACAAGGACAAATGTTATGAAAATGACTATTGTATGTATCACATCTGCTGCAATATTTCAGTACAGCCGTGAATATGATGTCCACAAGAGGTTGTGGTGAGTGATGGGGCACTCATTGTTCAGGAAGACAGATGTACCTTGACTGTGCTGTGGACTCCATCCACAAGAGCTTGAGCGCACCCGCCCGCCAACGCAATCCAGTGCCCCCAAGGTTCACCAACGAGTGCCAGGAGCGAGCTCTGTTCTGCATGACAGCCCTGCCGGATCTCAGCCTGCAGGAACTGCTTCCGCATGTAAGTGGGAGTTTTTGCCTGGTGTGTCTGAGGTTGGCAGTTCTTTCTCACAGTATGTTCAGTGGAAGAGTCTGTGTGTGCAACATCGGCATGTAGAGGGAACTGTTGCTCCACAAATGCACCCAAATGCACTCACTTGCTTCTGGAAGCTTGTGCATCCATTTGAAAACAAGGACCGGAACTGCAACTGAAACGTATGAAATCTCTCGTTCGATTAGTTCACTTGCAATTGTTGACATTGAAACTGAAAGTGCGGCACCACAGGCCAAGTGTTTATGACTCATGCTTGTCAGTCTTCCTGATGGGCAACTGCTTTGCAGATGAAGAGTGCTGTCGATGAAAATGTCAAGAACATCGAATTCAGTGAGCTAATCAGCGGCGAAGCATTCTTGAAGCTGGTTTCTGACATGCAGCAGAAAATGGAGGAGCAGCTTGCATCTCACAATTGGGCCTCTGCCTTTGAAACTGAGTACATTGAGACCTTGGAGGCAAGAGTGGGTATGGCAATTTCTTTGCCCCCATGGAGAGTCCACACCTTGGTGCTGGATGCATGCATTATGCTTGAAGCAATGGTGCCATGCTGTGAACGTGGACTGTTGCTGTTTGTGTCTAATGCCTTCGAATTGTATTATTGTTGCAAATGCAACAATGGTGTGTTTGAACTGACCATTCATGAACTGTAATGTATCATATGCATTAGAATGGTGATGTATATGCAGTACATGTGTGTTCCATTTGCATGCTGCTGTTTCAACAATCAGGACATGGACTGGTTGCATGATGGTGGGGCCAACCACGCAGATGGATGAAAACTCTGAAGTGCAATTGATTGACCAGTATGGCCTTGTGTTATCTGTTCCCATGCTGCTTTGTTCTGGTTATTTCAGTATCACACTCCAAGAGAAGGAACCTGAGCCCCGTCTTCTGTCCCCGCTGAAGCTTTGCTGTGCTCTTGGCCAGTCCACCCTGCACAATGGCATCCCCACTCCCTCCAAGAGACCAAGCTCATTAAGGATGTCATCAACGAGGTTGTAGAGGTTGTGGGCAGCAAACGCTTTGCAGCATGTCTGCTGGACTGTGTGCGTTGCTACACACAGTGTCTGGCGAACACTGTCCTTGAGGTGATGCAAGGGCAGACAGGAAACGGCCAAGCCAGTGGGTCAAGCAGCCCCCAAGCTCAGAGCCTGCCCTTTGTCAAATGTTTGTCTGTGGCAAACCGCATTTCCAAGAAATGCCTGGAGAAAGACACGCCCAAGGCCTTGGTGAGGATGCCCACTGCCCCAAGGGCATTTGGCGGTGTCGGTTTCTATCATGTTGGAATTGCTGCTCCACTTTTGGACCCTTTGGCACAGCGATGCGCCATTTAGCCCGTTTCTGCTGAGCTACTGACAGTAGAGCTGCACTGGAGAAGTGAACAGGCAAAGGGCTTCCAAAACACAATACCGAAATTTCGAAACGCTGGAGGGTGCAATAAAGAAAGGTACCAGCGGTCCGACTGTGACATGCAAGCACGAATATGCACTTGCCCTTGTGTGGAACTAGTCCTTAGCACTAGTCCCTAGCACCTTGGGCTGTTCTGTGTTCCTGTGTGGCCATGGGTTTGCCCAGGCCGTCATGTGGGACATTTGCTTTGGCCTGCGCACTTGCATTCAGTGGTTGATGAGATTGCAAGTTGTGATTGTGTGGCTGATATTGCAGCATCGACGCTCATGCATTGTTGGTCATGTCCCATCGACCACATTACAATGATTGGTCATAGTCTCAGGTCTTGCTCAGCGCAGTGCTGTGTCTGCTGAGCCACAATGCCTTCAGGAGAAGATTATCAGTGGCGTAGCATGTCAGCACGAAATCTAACACACTCTATGCCAACAGCAGAAAGATTGCGATTTGTTTGTGTTAGCCTTTGCTATTGATAGTCAGGTAGCATGGAGGCTCGGTGCCAAGCATTATGATGTGCCTCTGTCCCAAGCTGAGAAATTTCAATGTTTACAACCCGCAATAACACCTCCTCAATGGGGCCACCATTGTCCACCCAAGGCCAATGGAGATGACGCCAATTGCTTGTCTTCTTTTTAACTGTGGATCTTGGTCCCAGGTCATGGGAACTCTGGGTGTGGTCCACGAGCTCTGCGTGGATGTGTACACTTCGGGTGTTACTCCACAACAAGATCGCTGGCCGTGACTTGCATGGTGCCAGATGAAGCCCTAGTGACGATGTGATGGCCAAGCGGCTTGGTGTAGCCACTGGACAACTTGTTGACAAATGGCCTGGTCTTTGGAGCTAAGCTGTTTGATCGCTGTTGCCAGCATACAACCCGCGTACAATCTGTTGCCTGCCTCAATTTGGGCACAAGGATGTGACGAGCCAGGGTCGGACTAGAAATCACAGGAGTGATGCGCAGCAGAGGTGGCACTAGGTCCCTACTGGCCTTCAGCCAATTGTGCGAAGATATCTCTATCCCCAACAGCCCTTGTGCTCGAGGAATATACACGCATTTTGTGGCTTACAACTTGCAGCAGTCCGTCGACGGATCTTTGGTTGCATGGGTGCCGCTGTGCAGGTGGTAAGGGCGGCCACTGTGGCGGCGCAGACCTACCAAGTGGGGCCATTGCAGAAAATGCGATCTGTTGTATGTCGGCCGAATATGCTCGTGAGTTTTCAGCAACAGCCCCAACAGCAGAAAGCGGCAGACGAAATGCGCGGATTCCAACCTGCAGATTTCCTTGTGCTGGCGCTGCACACTGCTCTAATTCCAGACAGTCAATCTGCACTTCGATTGCAGTTTTGTGCCCGGTACGTGACAATAGTCCCTGTTGAGGGGAAGCAGGAGGACGGCTGGGGCGTTGGTGCTGGGTTGCTGGAGTAGCGTGAATAGAGAAGACTAACAAGAGTGTGAATTGTACGGCCTCTGTTGTTTTTATGATAGGTCCATCAGTGTAGCCTGCTCGTTCTTAACTTAAAGAGCAATAGTCGGCGTCGAGATTCATAACGAGCCACCGGAAAGCATGAAGGTTCTGTTGCATTTTCTTGCAGCACAGCCGCCAAATCAGGATGAGCTGCCCGCCAGCTGCTTTTGGGAGGGCATGTGGCCTCTCGTAGAGAAAACTGCTGGAAGTGGGCATCAATGAATCCAAGCCTGTCTCCATCCAAAATGCAGGAATGCAGAACTGTCCCTACTCCTACCGCCACCTGTGAAATCCCCTATTGGAATTGTCATCAATGAATCCAAGCCTGTCTCCATCCAAAATGCAGGAATGCAGAACTGTCCCTACTCCTACCGCCACCTGTGAAATCCCCTATTGGAATTGTCAAATTGCGTGTTTGGGCCCCACCTTGCCCGCGCACCGGCGGAGGCGACACATGTTGTGCCGGCCCCAATCTTAACCCAACTTGCTTTCGATTCCTGTGTACAGGAACGAATGACGACAACCGCTGCTTCATTTTGCCTTTGGTGCGTTTTAGTATTTGGAAGCAGGACGGTCGTGGCATCAGATGAACGCACCGATGGGCGATCTGCCCTGTTCTCCAAGTCGGTTGCTACTCTCAGCACCTCACAGCTCTTGCCCTCGCGCCTGCGGAGGCCACCTGCCGACTCTGGTGGTCTGGCACACGGCGATGCCAGCGCACCAAACAAGCCCCTTAGGTCAATCTGGCTGCCAGGGCGCGATGCATCAGAGGGCACGAGGCTGTCCCCTTTGCAGCATGCAACGGCCCTCTTTTCCTGGCTCAAGCCTTCGCAGGTGGGGCTGATGCCCGTGCAGCCATCTGCATCAAGGGTCACGTGAGGACTTCCGTCGTCCCATATGGCTGGAGGGCGGTCTAGGACAGACCCGGGTCCCAAAGATGGCAGCCAGGGGCAGAACGAGCCAGCACTGGTGCCAAAGACCTGTGCGAACACAAGTCTTGCTGCGTTTTTCCGTGAATTCAATGAATGTGTTCGTGCAGTACGACGAACACGGCAGGACGCGAGAACTGCAACGCAGCGCCTGGAAACAACAGCAATGCAACAGTAATGTAATGCTGGTGGGTACTAATGTGGTGTGGCTTTTTGTGGATTGTTCGCGTTCTTCAGGGGTGTACACAGCATTCAGGAATGCAGATAGAATGCAACAAGAGGCGCGAATAATACGGAACCGTCCATCAGGCTCAGCAACGCAGGAGAGCGCGTGCTGCATTACAAAGACGCTGAAGAGTTCAGTTCACCTGATTTGGTTCTATCTGAGCCGGCCTGTCTTGCGATTCTTCCCCAGCCGCTGCATGCCGCTTACCCTCTGGTCGAGGGAAAGCCATCTCGGATGCCGCCACAGCGCTTGAAGCCATGGGACCTATGTTTGGATCCAAATGCTTGCCACATTTGAGAGGTGCGTGTGGAGCTTCACTGTATGGGGACATAAGTACTACTGAAGCACGATGCTATTCAGCTTTTTCTCTCGCTGATGTGCGATGACAGCATACACAACTTCTGTGGAGCGCGTGACACGTGAAATCAAAAGAACATCATGTGCAATACCCCGACATTCTTTCCTACGCCAAATTTAGGTAGCTTAGGTGGGTGCTTGTCGTGCTGATGCTCCGCTGGCTGTCGAGGACACGCTTCGGTGCACGCTGGCAGCATGGACACAGGCGTGCACTGAGCGCCTCATTGTGACTTGCCTAATTCAGTGTTGCGCTCCAGCGCTGTGATGTTGGGCGACGAGGAGTTACAACAGGCATCCGCTGCAGCGCGTGCTCCGTCCTCGTGAACCTATACAATGATTTTGTACCCACTTTCCACGTTAAACCAGGTTGACAAATCGAATTGTGATTGAAAAGAGTTGCACCTATTCCCCATGGCAATACCGGGGTGAGAACAGCAAAGAGCTCGGAATGACAGCAATTTGACTTTTTATTATGTGAACAAATTGGTAAGGTTAGGTTGACTACAGGTGCCGCACAAGAAAATTCAGAAGCAACACTGATGTGGGTGATTTGGTCCAGCGTCCTGCAGGTGTTGGCACAGTGCTCAGTCACACGAGAACATGCGATCGAAGATAAGCCAGCCCCTGTCTGCGGTGTGCACCAACAAATGCCGTACGTGCACTCACCCCTCCATCTGCTGGCACCAGGTTGTGCTGCTTCATTGCCCGGGGCTGGGAAGAAGCTGCCCAGATCATCACATCCTTTAGACCAGTGTACTGGGAAGCTGCGTGGAAGACTGTCCCTTCAATAGACGAAGTGCAGGTCACACCAGTGGCGCACCCCCTTTGAGCAAGACTCTTTTCCCACGCTGCGAGATGATTAGACTCCTAGAATCCGGTAAATGCAGAGCACAACATGTGCGAAACACAACAGCGAAAGCTGAAATATCTCGGTGATATAACTTGAAGCTGTAAATGTTGTAAACTTTTGCTCAAGTTGCAAGCCCATGCGTAGTTACCTTTTCGGGGTTAGCACGTACAGACTACCAAAAATCTGATGACTTCAGGTGAAATTGCTACAACTTGAAAAGACAATACTACAGCATTCACTGGACGCCGTCTGGGAGGGCATGGTGGATCTGATGGGTTCTTCTGTACAGAGACCTTCATCAGGTGGAAAGGCAGCCTCCTTGTCGCGAACTCGGCCTTCAGTGCGGCAGCCATTCTTCCCGTTGCGGCAGCCATCGCATCTGCACTTTTCTCCGCAAGGGACGCCAGCCTGCAGATCGCGGTGAATGCATTCTTTGCCATTGTACAATTGCCATCAAAGGAAAGCCAATCTCTCAGCGTCGCCTTCAATTGGCCTCGGAAAGCAGTTGCATATCCTGGATGTGGAATAATATATAGGTGCCCATATCCTGGATATAGAATATGATGGGAACGCCACATCTTGGGACATTGGCGCCCGTATCCCGTGGTATGGCCACGCCCTTGATAGGTATGTCCAGGATGTGCAACTATTTTGCGACGGCGGGGGCAGTGCGTTGTACGCGCTTGAAGATAGAATCACAAGATTGATGCAAAACACTGTCCACAAGGCAATGTGAGCTACTTTGTTCCTTTCCAAGCAACCAAGTCATATTTCTCATCTCGCACAGCCGACAAATATGCCAAATATGCTAAATCAGCACACGTTAAGTCAATTTGAGGACATGCCTTTGCCATGTTTTCCGGGAACTCAATACTCGCCAGTGAAGGCGGCAAAAGCGTGTTATTCAATGAATAGGAATTTCTTCCAAACTTTGATGCCTGAGCCACTCTCAACAGCAGGACCACATGACAAAGTATAAACGATTTCTTCAGGATGTGGGCAGAAGAAGAGCTGTCAATTGCGATTTAACGCTTTGAAACAAAAGAATCAGAGAAAGGACCACACAGCAATACCAAATTCACCTACAGATTTGGATGAGTCCCAGTTCATATTGCTGTTGAAATATTTTCTGCATTTTGTGTCTGATCCCTCAGTTATTACTCTCTGTATCTTACCTCGGGCAATTATAGCATTAGCGCATATCATGCCCTGAATGGATCCATCCATGTTCGGTATCCATTCACTTAGTAGTTTTGGAATGCAATGGCACCAATTGTGGTTAATCAGAAGAGCAGCCTGAAAGGTGAAAGTGTACCAGATCCGTTAGATGCGTATTTCGCAATATTTCACACAAAATCAAGTTCCTTGTATCTGTGGCGAAATGAGGTAGGCTGGCGGCAGCCCGTTCAGGTCAATGGGGATTGCACTTACTTGATAGCACTCACAGTATTTTTTGGCACACTGAGATTTGCGACAGCGGCAGCCCCGTCGGTGCGTCCGGCATTGCACAACATCGCTTCTTGTGATGATCTTGTTTTGGAATGCCTGCACTCACACGGTGGACACAAGTCTTGCCTTAGAAGAAGATTTTCTTTCTCACCCGTAGACAAGTAGGGCGTCCCCACCAGATGTCCCCTTGAACTTGTGGCGAAACAGGCACTTGGCGGCCCCAGTCGCAATATATGGCTTCTGGGACACGACACAAGGCTAATGCGCTTGTCTCCTTGTGACCAGCAAGTAATGAGACATTTCGGCATGCGGTTGGACAATACTGGCCCATTCATGAAGTGATATTCCAAACTGTGGGAACGTCGGAGACTTGCTGACATTGGGCAGAGACAGATGTGTATGGGCTTGCAATGTACATTGCGATGCTGTGTCGTTCTCAATTCAGCCAGAAAACATCAACAGCC